CGTCTGTTGATAAGTTGCTGCAGCACGAGTTCTTCTCGTCCGGCATCATGCCCGCTGCGCTTCCACTCTCCTGCCTCACTACGGCGCCCAGGACCGACCAGCTGGAGGGCATCGCGCTGCACCGCCGACCACTCAACGAGGTTAACACTAATGGTGGGTATCTTATTTCTTTCAATGTGATGTTTATCTATTATCAAAGCTAATCTTTAAGTTATGGTACCTAAATTCAACTTATTCGTAATTACAGATCACGTGGCGATGGCCGTGGACTCGCCAGTGAAGCGCGAGGCGATACCCGCAGAGCCGCGCGCTGTGGAACCGACTTCACACAGACAGAACCTGATTGCACTTCGCGATCAACTTGCCTCTTTGCTTGTTAGCAAGGTATGAATACGACATCAAGACGTTTTGTTAAACCTTTAATAAAATTTTAAAAACAACTTATTAATTAAATATTTACTTGTTACAGCTGAAATGCCGTCCAGAGTGTCTCACGGATGAATTGAGCGATCCTGCGGCCCAGCCGTTGGTGTGGGTAGGGAAATGGGTAGATTACAGCGACAAGTATGGCTTTGGCTACCAGCTGTGCGATGAGAGTGTCGGCGTTATGTTCAACGACACCACTAAGCTCATCATGCTGGCTAATGGACTGTGAGTATTTTTGCAAAACATTTTACTAAATTAATGTTAAGCTTGTTACAGTCATCATGCATACAAGTTGACTGGTGCAATTACTTTTCACTAATTTCTATTTTCGTACGCAGGAACGTGCACTACATCAACCGGCAGGGCCAGGAACAATATATGACGATGCGCGAATATCCAACGGAACTTGACAAGAAGATGAAACTTCTCACCTATTTCAGAAGATATATGACTGAACATCTTATGAAAGCTGGTAAATTATCTATTAAATTAAAAATTTATACAATACTATTACTATTTAATATTAAAATTACAGCAATATATAAGTAATATTTTTATCATTTTTCTCAGGTGCATCGGTACCAGTAAGAGAGAGTGATGGACTGTCTCGATTACCACATTTGCACCAGTGGTTCAGAACCACACTGGCAGTTATCATGTACCTGACTAATGGAACACTTCAGGTAACTACTCAAATGCAAATCTAATGACAAAATATTGTATAGAGAACATATTTGATCGCCTTGTCAAATCATATGTTCAAGGACTGTTAACAATTTTTGAGTTATATTTTTACCTAAGTTCAGGTATTAACTTCTTATTTTCTATCAACAGATTAACTTCCAAGACCACACAAAGATCATCTTGTGTCCGCTGATGCAAGCTGTCACCTACATTGACGTGGAAAAGAACTTCAGAACATTCCGCTTCAGCACAATTGAGGAGCATGGCTGTGATAAGAAGCTTTACACAAACCTAACATATGCACTGGAGAAACTAAACAGTGTACTAGCTAATAAGCTCTGTTAGTCACGACACTGCCTACTTGGTACATAATAATTAATTAAATGAATTTAATATTTACCTATACTTAATTAGACAATCTCACGGGAGATTAACGTTCTATGTATAGGGTTAGTACACTAGAGGTGATTCTACGCCCATTGTTTCATTTGTTAGTTTATTAGCAACATACATGGTTTTGTTAAAGTTTATTTCGTCTCAAAAAATCAATTTCAGTAAGTTTTTTTTTTCTAAAGAATTACTTTTATGTCCACCGATTTTATCTCTATTATTATTTATTTAATAGTTGTCTTACAAACAAACTGTAAGCCTTGTTGATGACGTATCAACATCATACTGCCAATCATTGGAGGTTGTCCATTTGCCATCTTAAATTTTATATGTAATATCTATAGACAGAACATTGATGAAATAATAGTGAATATAAAATATACTCAAGTTCACTATTCTCATTTGTTCTGTGAAGTGAGGTACTTATCACAACATAACAAAGTTATGGACAGCTCGTCAGTTTAGTGATTGCCTTAGACTTAAAGTTAAATTTTAGTTGAACCTCTCTTGATATGTATACCTAATATAGTTGATTGAGAGCACCATGACTGAGGGCTGCGGTGCGAGCGGGTTGCGTTTGGAGTTTTTTATTTAGTTTTATAGCAATATTTTTATAACTTGTTTCTGTGCTTCAGTAACATCGGATAATGCGTTATTTGATTTACTTATAATTACACCATCGACAAGACGATGTCACTACATACACCATTGTTTTATTCTAAATTATGTCATAACTCTTATGAGCTGGATATGTGAAGCGTCAGTATTATTATAAAATTCGATGGTTTTGAAGCACTTGGTAATTTGTATAAAACAAGTTTCTCTGAGGTCTGTTACCTCTCTCATTGTAATATAATAATGATAACTATTTGACAATAAAGTTATTAGGAAAATAAAAGTAGTTTGTATTCATTTATAATTTAATTCATTCCAGCCTTATTTCAGTGGTGATAATTTGTACAAAAATAAGCCAACAATGTTGGTCCAGTATTTTGAAAGTGGAATGTATTAATGTTCTGCTAATTTTTAGGAACATATTTTGTCATGTCACTATAAATTCAAAAAAAGCAAATAATATTGTGACTATGTTAAACAATTTACACATACATGCCTTAACATAAATTAATAACCTTCAAGTTCTGTGCTCGGTAACAAAAACCACTAATTCGTATGTGACACTCGAGGCAATCAGTGTTTAGTAAATTATAAGAGAATAAATTCCTCAAGTTTTGACCAGCAAAAAATTGACAAGTCCAGCCTTTTATGACTGTACAAACCAGCACATTGGTAAATAATGGATTCTGTCATTATCTACATTATTTAGACACATCTGTTGGTTTGTATAAGTACAGAACAGTTTTGGTATAGTCCTCTTGGATAACACAACTTGTGAAAACTGATAATATACAACCTAATAAAATTAAAAAAAGTTTATTATTATACAAATAAATAACTACATTACAGATTATAACTCTGAGTGTATCGCATGCTGGTGTGGTAATAGTTCGCCGGGGTGAATAAAGAGTCCTTCTTTGGCTTGCCAGTCAGTGTATGCGCCGTACTGAGAGTTTACGCCTACTATTTCACCCTGCCCACTAATCGGCCGTCCAAATGTACGACCTGAGCCAGCAAGGAACCTGAAACAATGAAATATCATCGGTATAATGCAGAGGTACTTGCTAGCTAGTCAAGTTCAATACTTTTTCGAACTGTTATGACGACAGTTTCCTATAAATTGTGTATTGTGACGTCACGTTTTTTAACGTCAAACAGCGTACTTATTTCTAGAAATACTAAAAAGTTGGTCATAAAATCAATCCATGCAAGTGTGAATTTTTTTCAATATTTAATTGTATTAAACAGTCAAAATAACTTATGATTAAGAAAAGTGCTCAAAGGAACATAGAAATCTCTTATCAACTCAATTTTGCTAAGGCAATAGGTTAGTATGAAACAACAGGTTCTTTTTTTTACATAGAATAAATTAGCAGTTTTCTTGTACTGTTAAAGATAATACAAATAAATTAGGTATAGAAATACTTACGCTCCTGTATCCACATGCCTAAGTTTGATAGGAGTGTCCCTCCTCCAGAAGTCATTATTGCAGACTACAGTCCAGTGGTCACCACTGTCTCCCTCACCATCCTCATCACCATAGCATGACACCTCCTGGTTGCCTGACAACGGTGACGAGAAGTAGTGTGAGTGAAGGTTCTTCTTTGTAGAGACATGTTGTAGACGGATATTGGTGTTGCATTTGATGGGAGCCCTGGAATTATATTTGGTGAGTATCAGACATGTACAACTAGTCTAACAGTTTCATGATCTTTCTTTTGTTTTTTCTTTTCATTGTTCATCAGTTTTTAACCCTCGTGATCAAACAAATAGATATTCCAATATTATTTATGACATCAATCTTAGTGAATACTTTAGAAATAACATCACATGTTTCATTTTAAAAGTAATATCAGATTTTATATGTTATGTGTTTAAGAGTGCTTCATTTTAATAGCAAATCTTTTATCATATAATAGGCCATTTTCAGACCTTACTGTTCAAGACAGGAGTCAAATTAAACAATCCTTCATCAGACCAACACAGTCTACTTAATTGGAAAACATCAAATAGGAAAATGTAGTAATTCATAAGACCCACTTACCCGCGTTTGCATGACTCTGCCATGGGAGCCCGCACCAACCAGTGACTGTTGGAGTCATCAGCTACATCCACTGCTGTTACTGACTGCTGTCCAGACCCTGAGCCGTACTTCACGTCGTGTGAGTGTAGTCGCAATCTCAAGTCTGTATTTATCATCTTCAAAATAGAGCCGCATGTCACAAATTCCGCTTTTGATCCTGAAAAGACATTACGCTTTAATTAGAATTGCTATACCATTCGATTCCATACATAACGCCCCAGTTTTAATCTAAATTTCACAGACTCGCATCCTCCCATAGCAAAAGGCCACGTAATTTTTAGACCGAGCGCCGAAACGAAATGATAAATGATTAGTACTAAAATTTACCTTCTGAAATTTGTACCGACAATATAGTTAATAATAAAATTGACAAAACACTGCGAATAATGTGAAAATCTGCTAGAAACGCCATAGTTTCGGCAAATAATTTCACAAACAGGTGCACAAGTTCAGCTTTTTAACACAGTATCACACACAATGATTCGATTCCAACATCAGACAGAACGAACGACAGAATAATGACAAAGTTGTCAAATTGACGTAAACGTGACAGTTCTATAGATTGCGTTTAGATTTTTCCATAAACAAGATGTCATAGCCCTACTTAATAGGTTCAGATCCGGGGAATAATTCACCAATTTATCATTTTTATTGATAATAACTATTACACAATTAAATATATATACATTTTTATTGTAAAGATAACTTTCAATACAAAAATTCAGGTGATTAAAAAATGTTTAAATGATCTTCTTTATTATTTTGTTAATGTTGGATCTTAGAATGAATCATAATCATTTCAGTTCTCATTCTCATTTTATTTATGTCACTGTCATCGTGTTGAAATAGAAAATGAAAAATTGCAAAGTTTACACTTCTCCGCAACTCAATAATTATTGATAACAGAGTAACAAACTTTACGGCCAAAACTATATACTTGCATACTACTTCATAGTTATATCTTTAGTGTTTTCATTGATTTACAATGAGTAGCAGTGGTTATACTCCTAACACAGGTGTTACAGGTGAGATATCAAAACAATGAAAAGGATTATGAAATGAAGTGTTCCATACGTTAATACCTGACTTACTAACTTGTTTTTATATTTATATTACAGCACCAATCGACCCAGGTTGGAATGACCCTCCTAAATTATCTTATAATCCAGGAACAACACCGAATAAACCGCGTAATATTCTTAACAAAAGGGTGGCGTTTCCCTTATCGAGCGCCACGTCTAACTCTGTCGTGGTGCCTCCTGTGAATATACCGCCAATGCCCGCGGGCTTCCCTCCTGCACCTCCGGCTCAGGTACCAAGCATACTTCCTCAGCAAATAAATGTAGACAGTGAAAGTACTCTCCAGGAGGTGAAACAAATATTGTTAGAATTCTTAGACAACAGCAGTGAGCTTGGTCCCAAAGCAAATGACATTAGACGGAGAATAGGAGTCATGGAGGAAATGTGGAACAGTGGCAAATTGGACAGCAGGATATATGTGCAAATGAAGGAGTTGGCGCATGGTGAGAATTATTTTGTTGAATATCATCTTTACAGTTCCAATTTTGATACATGTTGTTTGCTTATAAAGTAGAGTAAGTATTAAAACAGTGTAACTAGAATTCATGCTCAGTGAACATCAGCTAACTGTGCTGTAACAATTGTATTGCATAATGTTTCTATAGCTGACTTTCTCTTTCAATTGGAGTAAAGTAATTTAAATTCTTATTGGACTCGGTGTAAATTATTCATTGTAATTAATGACTTGAATAATTCAGTGTGTAAGTGACGGGCCACAGTTTAAAGATTGATATATTATTATAATGTCTCTTGTTTTAAAGCAGGAAATCTGTTTCTTAGTAACATAGTCACAGATTTACATAACATAACATCACACCTTTTATCCCCAGGGGTAGGCAGAGGTGCACACAGAAGTAACACCCACTTTTCCCTATTTATGTTATGAGTCCCATGTAATGGGGGGTGACCCTATTGCCATATACCAGGCACATTTCCAGACTCCGTGCTACTACTGAGATTTAAAAAAAAAACCAGTAATACTTTGTCCAACCCGAGAATCGAATCGAAATCTTGCCCGGCAGTCGCACTGCCTTACCTCATTGTTGCGTCGTTGACTGCCTCATTGGCTGAGTAGTCACAGATTTCTGGGAACAATATAAAACCATGTGCCAAATTTATTTTAATATGTTTATTACCTAGTCTCAACTGCTTAATATCCTTGTTCCAGCACTGAAGGATGATAATCCAAGCAAAGCAGATGACATCCACAGGGCTCTGATGGTGGATCATGTCAGTGCTGTGGGCACTTGGATGCCCGGCATCAAACAACTCATACACAACTGTATAGCTCGATCAGAACTGCTATCTATTGATAAGGAATAAACTAGGTTTACCAACATCCAATAAGAAATCAGCAGCAGTCTTATAATGTTTAAATATTTCTATTTGCTTCCATTCTTCATTAGATACTGCCAAACTCATCAGAAAATGAAAAATATACAAAAGGTTTGGTATAACTTTTTTTATTACAAATATGAGATCTCCCTGTAGCAGCCAAAATCCATAATTGTTATACATGATCGCCAGTAGCACTAAAATTGTATACCTAGCTCGAGACATATTCATGCTGATAGAGGGACAGAGTGGATATATCTTTACACATTATCTTCAAAACGAGAGGTCCTTTAAAAACAGTCTTGCAAGGCGCCCATGTTATGTGGAAATGAGAAAGCAGAAATATATAATGTGGATGGATTTGAATAAAGCCGTATTTTCACTAGGGGACATTTGTTCGGCGACTCGGACTCGCGACTTTTCGACGTCGACAGGACATTTACAGGTCGCGCAATTTGTCGCTAGTCGATGCTCTGCGAGCGTGTGCCTCGACAGTCGCCAAACTTGGCTTTGAGTAGTGAGAACGTGTGTCGCTTTTTGTTCTAGAAATGGCAGTAGTGTGGCTCAATGAGAATACCGACTCCTCCTCAGACGATATACTGATCAAAACTGGCTAATGTGAACAAGCGAAATGTCCCCTAGTGAAAAGGTGGCTTTATCTTACAATAAACCTAGTATTTTAATTAATTTAAGAAATGTGATGCTTTTATTAAGTTGTAACTAAGTTGGCCATTTGTAATATGAGGTACAATGTAACCTGTGTTGTTTATACAATGTAAATAAAATACTTTGAATTTAAAATACGTCTTTATTCCTCAATACTCCATACAATTACAATATGTTTGTGGTCCTGCACATAATTAGATTGTATATAAAAATGAGAGACATTTTATATTCGCAAAGTTATTTGTTACAACATTGTACTTAACAAATTCTAAACTTTATACAACTGATAGAAACCCTAAACAGGACAATCTTACAACTTAAAAAATACTATCTTTTACTGATATCGTCACAAAATCAGACACTTTTTTAACTCTTTTTTTATTCTATATGCCTCGTTTAATCGGTTTAGGTGCGACAGTGACGCGTACTGGGCGACACAACTCGATCAGTTGCGCCGGTTCCCGCGCGCCTCCCTCTTCCACAGCGAGACAAACTGAGATGTCTACTCCACACGGCTCCGTCCACACTCCATGCGATATCAATACTTTTGTTAACAGACGCACGTTTTGTGTGCCATCGTCATCTGTAATAACATAAAAATGTTAGTATAAATTCTAATCTCAAGTGTATCTATAGCATAAATTACCTACATGTTCATAATCATACTATTACTATTTTGTAGACTGATTCGCCTAATTCCAAATGCAAAATAATTTGAGATTCTGTGATGTCTATTGTAATCCAATATTCAGTTTCGCTTAGCATGTTAGATATCATCGATATCATTTACTGTATTCCTGTGCCTACATATGAAATTGTGGAGGTATATTATGTAATTTTACTTTCCCTGACGATTAAAATATGAGAAAGTGACAAAAAAGGAAATATAAAAGCCCAACTCACTAGTATTTTGATGATCGAGTGGCCTGAGATGGTCCTTGTGTGGTACGAGTGCGTGCACTCTAGTGTCGGGGTATGCGACGCGCACGCGTATCTGTCCGGGGCAGCGCACGCGCAATACTTCGGCCTCCAGCGCGACGCCGGCCACTAGGCCCGCGCTAAACCGCACCACGGTGTCGTTGTCCGCCGCCGGCTCTAGGATACTCGCCGTACACATGCGGATCTAAAAATAAACTTAAAAGTTATAAAAATGGAAACGATTTAAAGATGGAATCAAGAATAACTAAAGTAGCCAGGACATATCTGTTTTTAATTATCACAGAATGGGAAGACTGCTATGGAATTTTAAGTAGAGGACTTAGTATGAGTTAGTGATACAATTTTATTGTCAAGCATTTGAGTTATGAGTATTCTCATCTGATTATTTGAGAATTGTAACACAGTTTTAAGTTTCAAATAGTACATTTTTGATATTGTTCTTTGATTTTTTCAAAGAAAATTGCTACAAAATTAAGAATTTTTAACACAATTTTAATGTCAGCTTCACTATTGATATAAATAAGTACCTTGATATTCGGCGTGGGTATGACTGGCAGCGGCGCAGACTGCAACAGTGGCATGATGGCGCGAGCGAGCGCGGCCGGCTTGTGGTCCGCGTTCATCGACAACTGACGGAACACTGCTATCGTGAACGGGTCCGGCTCCACTCCTGTACGACGAAAATATGGTTTAAAACGATCATCATTATGGAGAAAGGTGTAAATGTGCACCTAACACTAAAATAACTGTAAAATAAAGTCGTAGTAAGATTTTTATACAAAGAAAATAGAGATAGTGACACTTGTAAGAGTTGATGGTTATAATCTGAAACACCCACAAAAAAAATGAGGACACCATTTTCAACACATTTATTTCCTTCGATTTGCTTTCTAATTATTTCAGCTTGGTAGATTGTTTCACACAAAACATTGGCCTATTTCTTAAGTAAAATAATGCCGCCTATGATTTGTACCTGCAGAGGCTAGTAGCCTATCGAGTAGTTCTGCATGATGAGTGAGCGCTGCAGCGGCGGAGAGTGCGGCGGCCGCCCCCGACAGGGCCGGGCCGGGCGCTGCGCCCGCCGGTGGGCCGCCCGGGCCGCCCGGGCCGCCGGCCTGCGGGGCCGCACGGGCCACCGCCCGCCACGGCACACAGCTTGGCCGCACTCACACGCAGCGCCAACTGCCACACACACGCGTTCTCCTGTTCGGTTACACCACTGAACTGGTGCTGCAGTCTGTTTGAGAAACATTTAATGTTTTAGTGTAGCAAAGCGACACAGTATTGTTAATATATATACATTCATAATCTCACGCTACTATCCCATGGCATAAGCAGAAATAACAGAGCGATCGCACAATAAATATTCGCGGGTCGATTCCCACGGGAATTGACCCGCCTACTTCTGATTTTCTTCCACAATGCCCGTATCCTGACTGACAACAAATGCGTGTAGATCTCGGCTAGGATTATAAGAATAATATGAAGGTACCGGAGGCAGTCGGTGGCGAGATGCGCGAGCGCGTGGTCCCTGGGCGCGGGCGGGGCGGCGGCCAGCGCGTGCAGGCCGCGCACGCAGCGCGCCAGCACGCACGTGAACACGGCCGCGCCCGACACGGCCGGCTCCATCTCCGCCAGTCTGGGACGGAAACAATGCTTATTAAGGCGAATAAATGTCTATAACTATTTTTATCTTTATTTTATAAGTAAGCCTTTTTTTCCTAAGAGAAAAACGTCAGTCCTATTATAGAGTACAAATTAATTTTGACCTGTTTAAACTTAAACATAAAATAATTGAACGATACAATTTTCTAGCCTCAGATGACAATGGTGACACTAAAACACTGAGAAAACCCAATATTAGATTTCTTAAAACTAAAGACCCCTGAGACTCAATACGTCGACACTCATACAAAATGTGTTGCACGTCCTCTCCAACATCACACATATCGACTTGCAATCGGTTCTAAAATACATTTAACCGACAGACAGGTAAAAATCAATCCTTGTAAACACTGATTTCTTATCAACCGACTGCTCGTTAGCTGGTCCATACGATAAAAACATTTCCAGAATATCCCGAAATTCAATTTCTTTTTTTTATGTTCGATAGTTAACCTATCGAGGAAGGCTACAGGCTATCTACCATCACAATACGATCAATACAAGAAGAACAGAGAGTGAAATATTAACTTTTTTAGGATAAGCCGGTAAACGAGCCAACGGATCACCGGATGGAAGCAATCGGCGTCGCCCATGGACACCTGTTACACCAGAGGCGTTACAAAGAGCGTTACCGGCCTTTTGGGGATAAGGAATTTAAGGATTGTTGGAGATTCAAGAGATTGGGGTGATTGGAGAAGTATCTCCCGTAGTCTCACTCACATGATTGAAACACAACGCAAGCGCTGTTTCACGTTAGTTTTCTGTGAGGCCGTGGTATCACTCTGGTCGAGCCGACCCATTCGTACCGAAACATGGCTCCCCACTTATCAGTAACAGTACATACTTATTAAGTTGTTCCTCAGCAGAGCGTAGCATGTTGAGTCTGACTGCAGTAGACAGGGTGGGGTTGTCGATGTGTTGTAGTACGGATGAGAAGAAACGACGCACCGCGCTGTCGTCCATCGCTGACTCTATCTTCTCAGCACTCGATTGTTGCGCGTCACCTGTCAGTAATATCCTCAGTAATAAAACTATGACTCAACTTTACAGTGCTCTCATTAGATTTGGGTACAATCCACCTGTTACTGAGTCAACAAAGCGGTTTGGCATGTGAGTTCTTTGAAGAAGACAACGTATCCAGGAATCGAAATAGTATGTGCATTTGCGTATACATAGCGAGCGAACAAAAAATTAGTACGAGTAATCGTAACGAGTACGCGTTCGGCGCTCTGATTGGTTGGTTCATTGGCGCCGGCAAATCAGAGCGCCGAACGCGTACTCGTTTCGAATACTTTAAACGTAAAACAAACCAGAGGCCTTAGTACGAGTTTGTTTTACGTTTAAAGTATTCGAAACGAGTACGCGTTCGGCACTCTGATTGGTTGGTTCATTGGCGCCGGCCAATCAGAGCGCCGAACGCGTACTCGTTTCGAATACTTTAAACGTAAATGAAACTCGTACTAAGGCCTCTGTACTAAGGCCTTTGATTTGCATTGTTTATGCTATTCCAGATTATGAACATTATGTTCTATCATGCTTCACTATTTACGTTTATTTTCATAGTGTATTGAATACAATAGAGATAAGGAAATATCCTTACCGATAGGTAGATATGGCACGAGATGTGGCATGGTATCCCGTAGGTACGTGTAGTGCTTGATGGTATGTTCCTCGAACAGTGGCAACATCGTGGTGCAGTGCTGCGCAGCGTTCAGGACCAGGATCAGGACGCACATGTCTGGCAACGAGTAATGCACATATTAATATAAAATTTAAAGATCATATTCAGTTCTTCTTCAGAAACAGATGTTATTTAATATAATTAATACATAAGTTTATGATTTTAGGAAACTGCTGGCCGCATACTAGTGAATTCTTTAGGAAAAGTAAAATGTATAAAAGAAAAAAGTTTCAACACTGCAAAACTGAAGACTGAAAGCTTGTTACCAAACAGTTCTATATAATTTTAATTTTACTTATTTATTTAATAAATATTAGATAGATCATACATGCGGGATCTTCGACGTCTGGCTCGGGCATGTCGAAGAATGGATGCACGGCCAGTAGCCGCGTCGTCAGCGGCAGTACTAGTGCCGCGTGGGAACTGCCTAGACGTTGCACACAACGGAACGTCGACCGCTTGTCCTACAGAAACAATAAGCAACGTTAAATATTATTAAACGTACCTATAGGAGTAGTTGTCACCACAGGGAAAATATGACATTATCATCGCTAGCAGGCGAAACTGGTGAACTAAAGTATCGTAAGACTACTTAGGACACCGAATTTGAAAACGCCGCTGCATACTGTGGTACGATTTCATAGGAAGACATCTTCATTACGTGACGTAACACAACGGGAAAATGCGAATGTGACGAACATTCAAATTCAAATTCAAAAAATTCAAATTCAAAAATTATTTATTTGCGTAAATAAGGTACAGATAGTTGTAATTTTGTAATAACTTACGTCCTCTTATTTTGCCTTTAACATCGGCGTGCAAAAATAATGTAGATACTTTACAGTCAAAATTTTGTTATACTCTCAAAGAAAATTACAAATTTTTTTTTCAATTAAAATAATAGTTTCAAAATTAAAATAATGAATTTTATAAAAGAGAAAATGTCACAAAATTAGCCCAAAATGTCATAAATGTCACACACAATATTCTATAAATGTCAATTTTACAGGAATGTCACACATATTATAAAAATATTACATTACAATTCACAAACCATTAAATATTACAATTTATAATCTAAATACTCAAGCACACTGTAAAAACATTTGTCAATTAGCAGGTTTCTTAAACCTCGTTTAAATTTATGAAAAGGTAGTGCCTTAATGGAATTTGGAACTTTGTTATATAATTTAATGCACATAATGTAACTGTTATTTGATGTGAGTGTGAGATTTGTTTTAGGTCGATATAATTTGTTGGCATTGTGAGACCGTGGAGCGTAATAACTTGCCGGATTCTCAAAGAGTTGCTTATGCTTAAAAACAAATATACACGACTCGAAGATGTAGAGGCAAGGCAAGGTTAAAATTTTGTATTTTCTAAAGAACGGGCGACAGGAATCTATTTG